CCCTTCTCGGAGCTCACGGTCTCTCTGTGGTCCCCGCTTGCCTCCCAGGTCAGAGTTGGGCACATACTTCTGTTCACTGTGTGTCTTGTTCTCTCCTCACGGGGTGAGGGGGAGAGCAGGTGTGAGCCTTCACCCTTCTGGGCTGTGGACACAGTGACGAAGGCCGCGGGCCAGCACTGGGGCAGCCTGGAGCACAGGGGCCCTGGCCCTGACGCCTCTGGAGAGGCACTTTCTCCTCGGCCCTTTGGTCACCCCTCGTTAATGTACACAAGTCCGGATGAATGCTTGACTCCTTGCATCTGCTTACTAGCTCTCAGAACCAACGCAATGTCTTCTCCGAGTAACCAAGAAGGTTTAAAGTACATACTTCACTAAGAATTCATTGATTAAAACAGTCTCAGTCTTGGAGGCTACCGCAGCTCTCATCCTCCTTGATGGTCACTTTGCCCCATCCGTGGCCTCTGGGCGCTTATTCAAGCTGGTTCCAAGTCTTGTGACAGGGACTCTGGGGGCTTTGGAGATTGTCCCTGCTCTCTGCTGTGACAGCGAGACCCTGGCTAGAGCCCGCCTTTCCTCCAAGGAGCCCTGGTTTCTCGTGGTGGGAGTGGCTTGTAGAGACCACATTCTAGGTGCCGAGGCGCCCAATGCTTTGGGGTGGTCATCGTCTCAGGGGCTTCCTGGGGAACGGACCGTGCGTGGGAAGACTGAAGGTGCCCTGGAGTCAGGCTGGCCCTCCCCATTCCACTGCAGGGCGCGGGGCTTTCACGGAACACCCGGCCCATCCTGCAGCCGTCTCACCACGCTGGGGAGCCAGGCGCTCCGTCGCCTGCTGACCAAGCGCCTTGACTCCTCCTTGTCTGGACAGGGGACTCTCCTGACCACCCAAGGCGGTGCTGAAAGCGGGGGTGGGAGCAGGGGGTCTCCTGACCACCCTTCAGTCCCGTCTGGCTGTTCCATTGTCACTGGGGTGGGTTTCTTCCCAGGAGGTTCTGCTGCTAACCGATCATATGATTATAGATAGCAGTTCTCTGCTGTCGGTCTGAATCTTTGTAATTCTAATTCATGATTATGGTGGTTCTGTCCAGGCTTTTTAAATTTTCCTAATGTTTAGAACAATTTTGGAATTATAGGTGATAGTTTTTATTTTCAGGAATAGATCTTTCTGGCATGCTGTCCTGGTATAGAGGATGTTCTAATTCTTATTTATTCATTCTCTGTGTTGTCTTTTTATTTTTTGAAAGAGAGCTCCACTTTAAAAAACAACAACATTTATTTATTTCTAAGTTTATTTCTGACTGCGCTGGGTCCTCATTGCTATGTTTGGGCTTTCTCTAGTTGTGGTGAGTGTGGGCCACTCTGGTTGACGTGTGCAGGCTTTTCATCGCGCTGGTGTCTCCTGTTGTGGAGCTCAGGCTGTCGGTGTGCGGGCTTCAGGAGTTGCAGCTCGTGGGCTTGGTAGTTGGGGCCCCCATGCCCCAGAGCGCAGGCTCCGTAGTTGACAAACGGGCTTAGTTGGCCCTCAGCATCGGAGAGCTTCCTGGGTCAGGACTCAGGCCTGTGTCTCCTGCATTGGCAGGTGGATTCTTATCCTCTGTGCCACCAAGGAAGTTCTCTGTGTTATTTTTTAATAACTTTGAATCAGACCACCCATCACCCTTTCTTTTGATCTCTTTTTAAATAGAGTGAGTTTTCTTGTGTGTGTGTGTCTGTGTATGTTGGGTGGCCTACACTAGCTTTTTCAGTTTTGTACTCTAGAGGTCCCACTTCTGTTGTTATCAGAAGTGACAAAGTTGGGCCAGATTGGCCTCCCCCAGCCAGGCTCCCCCTCGGAAAGGAGCTGTGGTGTGTTGGCCCTGGCTGGCCCATCCACAGCATCAGACGTCACCACGTCGGGGTCCACCCGAGCCCAGACGCCTTGATGGGCGCCTTCCTTGCTTTCCAGGCGCCCGTTTTCGGTGGCGGGCTCCCTGGCATTCACAGAGCCCCATGCCTTCCTTGCTCTCTCCGCTCACTGAGCCACCCCGTCGTGTGGTTAGCCTCGGTGGCTGTGCCCGGGGTCAGCCTGCTCAGCCCCGTGTGAGGGCCTGGGCATACAGGTCCACTGTGCCCCACCTTTTCTGCAAGGTCAGGTGGGCTGCTCTGCCTTCTGCTCTAGGCTGAAGGCCCAGCCTCGCCGCCCCTGGACTGGGCCTGCCTTTGGGGAACGAGGTGTGGACTCAGCAGCTCTCCTTTCCAGGATTACCATGGTCATCACCTCCTCAGCCAGCCATCTGTTTATGCGCCGAGACATTTCCTGTGAGTGAGGACATCAGCAGGGGGCACTGAGCACCTTCTCTGCCCATGGAGGAAGTTGTGTCGGGTAGACTGGACTCAGAGCCAGCAGAGGTATACCCCTGTTGTCTGCTCATCTCTCTGCTTCCTTTTTTTCCACGTGAGCAGCAGTCTCCTCCCCACCTGCCTGCTCTGCCCAGGGCAGCCGTGATCACAAAGCTTCCTGACCCGCTGCAAGCCTTGGGTTTGGGGCAGCAGGCTTTGATCGTCTGTGTGGGACAGGCAGGGTTTCCCTGGGTGAGAGGCCGGGGTCGGGCCTCTGAAGGGCTCCAGATCCAAGGAGACCTGGAGTGGGGAGCCTGACCCGGAGCAGAGAGAGCTACTGGCCCAGCACCCATACCCAGGTGCCAGGGCGCAGAGCAGCCAGCGCCAGGCTCGGAGCTGAGCTGAGGCTCCTGGAGGGGAAGACTGGACGGAACCAGGTCCAGCAGGAAGGTCCCGGGTGGGCCCGCTCCCCAGCTCGAGGTTTTTCTCATCGACCTGTCTTGACTCTTAAACCGCCAAACCCACTGAATCTGGAGAATTGCAGGCCTGGGAAATGCAGGTCCAGTGTCACACTGGAGCCTGAGACGGACACAGAAAGGGAACCACGGTGCCCAGGTGGCGAGCTGGATAGCGGTACGGGGCGTTGGTGTGTCAGTCTGTAAGGTGTGTTTGGGAAAGGCATTTATTCATTAAGTGGACACTGAATAACTGTCTGGAGTAGAACTTGAAAAGCAGCTCTAAAAATAGCAGCCTTTGTTTGAAGTTCACGGCCAGCCTGTGGAAACACGGATTCATTGAACACACTTGAGGGCATCACGCTTGGAGAGCGTTTCCCGTCGGCTCTGATTTTAGGCACAGCTCGGCTTTTCTCAGGACGGTCTCCTCAGCACTGTCGCAGGCCCCGGTGCTCGCCACGCTGCCCGCACCAGGCACTCGTGTGCCCCCCTGCAGGAAGGACCCCCGGCGGAGGGCGTCCGCCGGGGGACCCAGCCCCAGGCCCTGTGCAGACCGCCGCAGACGGAGGGCCAGAGGCAGCAGCCGCCGCCTCCGGAAGTCTCTGGTCCAGTTGTGATGATGGCCCCTAGCAATGCGTCCTGTCACGTGACCGAGAGAGCGCGGTGTGCGGTGTGCGCGTGTGTGGTGTGTGCGCGCACGCCGGGGCGTGTCCGGGAGGTGCTGAGACGCAGCCTGGCCCGGCCCTGGAGCCAGTGCTGTTGGCAGGGGCGTGAGCCAAGCACAGTCCTGCCTGGGGGTCCCTGGGCGCTGGGCCCTCGAGGCACCGGGCCCTGGGCGATCCTCGCAGTCCCTGGCGGCCGCTGTCTGCAGTGAAGGGGGCGGCAAGGGGGCCCCGGCTGTGCTGGGGCAGCCCCTCCCGCCGGTCTCTCCTCGCGGGGGAGCCCCACACCCCTTCCTCTCTCTGAGCCCCTCCCTGGGCCCCCTCAGAGCTCACCGCAGAGCTCGGGGCCCTTGACTTCACATCCTCCGCTCCCGGAACCTAGAGCGATGAGGCTGTGGTGACGAGTAGAAGCAAGAGCCCCGGAGAAAGCGAGGTGCTCAGATGTCTGTGCCCGTGATTCTGTCAAGAGCATCACATGTCAGCAATTGAGGGGAGGCTTTTCCCAAATTGAAGTCCCATCTCACGTCCCTCCTCGGGCCAAGCCTTCCCCTGAGCTTTCGTGGCACCTGCCAAGAGCTGCAGGGTCTTGGGGGGCTGCTGCGCGGGGATGTCCGGCCCGCAGGGCCTGGTGGTCCCTTGCCGATGGCTGGGGGGGCTGCAGGGCCCCAGCCCTGTCTCCAGCCCCTCTCCCTGGCCCGGCCCAGGACGCGGTGGCGTGGAGACCGTGGAGAGGGGTGAGCGGCAGGAGAGGGGGTCTGTTCTGGCTCCTAACCTGCTATGGCTCCACACCCCCGTGGCCTTGTCACTCGTGTGAGTGTAACACAGCCTGCGGTGGTCATCTCCTGGGTACTGTCACGAGCGGCCGTTCCCCTTGCTGACTGTTTGCAGGAAACCGCGGCTGGTCCACGGGGTCCCGCGCCTTCTCTTCCTGCTGACGGCCGGCCCTGCCTTGGCTGCCGCTGTCCATCTTTTCTGGTCCTCCGTGTGCAGAGTGGAGCATCACTCCCGTCACGGCGTTTCTTGCCAGTGGGGCTGAGCCTGCTGCAACGTTCTTATTGCCTTTTTTCATGAGCCTTCCTCTGTGAGCTGCTCGGCAGGGTCTCGGGGTGCTCTTGGGGTTCCCGTGCCCGCTGTGGGGAAAGGGTTTGCTTGCCCCTTCCTTCAGCTGCGCTCACCATGCTGAGGGACTTGGTCCGGGCGGCAGAAGCCGGCGTCACGGTCAGGTGGAGGGAGGCCTTGGAAGCGGCTGGTGCTCGGCGCCGTGTTTGTGCCGCGGGAAGATTTCCTTTTCTTCCCACGGCCACGCTTGCCGGAGGGCCGTCCTTGCCTTGCCACCTGCGTTCTGCTCCTGTGGAAAACGCTCCCTCACGTGGTGTATCCTGGGGGCCCAGGCTGCGCAGAAGCTCGCTGGATCGCCCCGCCGCTGTCCCATGGGGAGGGGGCGCGCTGGGAAGTGCTGGCCGCTCTCTGCCCCAGGCCACCCAGCCCGCTCTGCAGGCCTCTGGGCTGGGCTCGGGGCACCCAGAGGTACCCAGGAGGCGGTCTGACCCGCCTCGCGGTTCTCCTGTCAGGGGCGGGGGTGGGGAGGCTGCGGTAGCTCTTCCCCGCACTTGCTGGAGGAGGCGGGAGGCTCCGCAGGCTGAAAGCGCCGCCTGTGGCTCCTGCGTCCACCAGAGGGCGCGCCGGGCACGGAGGACGCCCGAGCCCCAGGGCGGGGCTTCAGACCCCAGCGCGGGTGGGGGAACGATCTCCCTCTGCCGCTGGGCCCCGCGTCCGCGCGGGCTGCTGGGCGCTGCTGCTCCGCTGGGTGGACGTGGCATGGGGTGGGCTTGGTGGGAAGATGGGAGCCTCGGGTTTCCAGGGCCTGTACGGGATTCCTGTTCCTACCTGCGTGGGGCGGGGGCAGGGTGTGGGGAGGGGGGCTCCCGGCAGCGTCATTGTTTCAGTGTCTGAGTGTCTGAAATGTGAAGCAGTTGCTCTCTTGGCTGCGCCGGCCCCACTGCTGGCCTCCTTCATTGTATCTTGCCTCCTCCACCACCCCCGCCACCACTGGGATCCTGTTTGAGGGATTGTTGGCAGTTTGTGAGCACCCCCTGTCTGGAAGCAGCCCTTTGGTGACAGCCCTCGGGTGCACGTGTCCATCTGGTGCCCCGTGCTCTGGGGAGCCCTGGCCACCGCCAGGGGCTGGCTGCAGTGACTGCCGGTGGCTGAGCAGCTGAGGGCCGCCAAGGCCAGGGTCTGCGTTCTGCCGCTCACTGACAGTGAGCGTTTCAGTGAGGTTTCTGTCAATACTTCTTAGAATCCTCATGGAAGCATCGACCCCAGGCAGAGCACACTGTCCACTTGCACCCATTCTGCCTCAATGGCCTGAGAGCTGGGGCAGGCCACCCAGCGTCAGGGACTCCGCCTGTGGCCTCAGCAGAGGGGGTGGGGACCTCTCTGAGCCACACAGCCCTCCTCCAGGAGCTCTGGTTTCAGAATTCCGGGGGGGGGCAGTGGCTGGCGGTGGTGCGGCCCTGTGAAGGCATGGCGCCCACATGGCCTGAGCACAAGGCTCAGCAGGGCCCCTTTCTGAGTAGACGCGGGCGCGCCTGCTCCCCACATTCCTGCGCAGGCAGCAGCCCGGGCTCCCAGCCCTGGCTGGCTCCGGCTGGAGAGTCCCGGGGGTGGCGGACCTGTGCTTTGTCCTGGCCTCTGGGCGCGTCTCCGTGAAGACACAGGTGTCCATTTGGAGGCCTTGGGCGGGGCCTTGGGTTTAGCCCGCAGCCTTGGACAGGAGGCGCGCGGCCCACAGACCCTCAGGGCTGGGTCCCCGGGTTCTCTGACTCTGGGATTTGAGGGTGAGGAATGGAGGGAGGGGAGTCGGCAAGGCTGAGCTGTTCAGGGACACCGTTAAGACGAGTTTCCTCTGAGGCCCACCAGCCCCATAGGCAGGGTAGGCCCGCCTCCGTGAGTCTGCCTGAACGGGGTGGGAAGCCTTGCCCAGAGGAGGGGTGTGGGCATCAATTGGTAGCTGAGTTGAGGGGCTGTCAGACTGTCAGAAAGGGGAGAGCCCAGGGGCCCTCACTGGAAGGGGAGCAGGGGGGCCACCGCCACTGTCCCATCGCATGGGGCCCCTTTGCCTAAAGAGAGTGGGCTTTGCACTTGTATGTTGAATCTGCTCCCTCCCCAGTCCCCCGGGATGAGAGCTGAGGGCTCTGGAAAGGCAGAGACCAAAGGGAGCAAAGGTGGGAGACAGCAGAGCCAGAAGTTGGAAAGCTGGTGCTCAGGTGGAATGCAGCCGTGAGGAAGCGGAAGCCTGAGGAAGCTCAGCGTGGCTCCCTGGGCCGTGGGACCTCAGGCCTTGGAGGGGCTGTCGGCGGCCGGGAGGTGCGCGGGAGCAGCGGGCAGCCCGCTCCCTCCGGCTTGCCTTGAACCCGAGGACCGCTGTCCTGAGAGCGCATCCCTGGACCCCGCCAGGGCCGCCCCCGCGCAGATAAAGCCGCGAGGGCAGGCTCCCCGACCCAGCCTGCACCCAAGACCCTGGCGCCTGCAGTCCACTCTCCGGCAGAAGAGTGGGGTCTGACCTGCCCAAGAGACGAGCCCTCCAGACACGTGCCAGTGGAGGTGGTGGGCGTGCCCCCTGCTTGGGAGCCAGGTGGTCCCCCAGGGCCTGCCTGAGCCAGCCCTGCCCCCCTCGTCCCCCCACACGAAACTGTTGGTGAGCCCTTCAGTGCCCATCGTTAAATAGGAGTGGATGGCCGGTGATCACCACGTGTTTCACGGACTGTGTGAGCAAGGAAGGCAGAGGCCAAAACCAGTAGAAAAGGAGGGAGCGGGCTGAACAAACAGATGAGCTGCCCCGTCTCAGTCCCCCGAGAGACCTGCAGGGCACGGAGGGCCCCCCGGCAAGTGAGAACCAGCCAGTAGAGAAGAGGAGTGTCCAGAGAGTTAACAGGAGTGCTTGGAAGCTGGAGGTGTGATGGCAAAGTGACGTCCTGGTGAAAGAAGAGGCGAAAAATGGGGTGCATTTCCCAGCAAGAGAACAGAACATCAGGTGTGGACACCAGGACGGCAGGAGTGAAGACGTCGGTGCATCGGAGTGGGGGGCTCTGAACAACAGCAGGGTTCCAGAAAGAGGGACTTTTAAGCAACTCGGCAAATTTCTAGAATCACAGGAAGTGAGTTGAGATTGAGTAGGCTCTCCCCGTGCCCCGCAGAGTGAAAGCTTCCCCTCTGCCCCCAGGAAACATGAGTGGGACCTTCAGAACACGGGATAAGGGAAGGATTTCAGAAACCTTCAGAGGGCAACCGAGCAAAACTAACCAGGAATCTGAACAAAATCCAACCCGGAAACTAAAAACCAAGGAATTTCATTTCACATCAGCCACATCAGTGGAAGTCATTTCACATCAGCTGAACTATTAATCCAATGCAAGGATAGAATAACACGTTTTTCCACTTGCAAATTCTGGAAAAAGTAATACTTCTCATTCGCCACCTTTCGGGAAACTACTGGGGAGGCCCAGTGCCCAAGGGAGAGGAAAGCAGTCCTTGGGACAGCCCAGCAGGCTGGGGGTGGCCGGGCTGCGGGAAGAGCCAGGGCCTAGACGTTCCTCCTGGGCTCCCGTCAGGAACCTGCCTGGGAGGTACCAAGGCAGGTGCAGGTTCTGTCGGAGGAGTTTGATCCTTGTTGGGGGCCTGTCCTTAGCAGATCTCCCTAGACTCACGGTGGGATTCCCTCCTGCCAAAGCTGTCATAAGCTGAAAATACGGAGAGCCGAAAAGGCATTCAGTGCGTCTGACCTCCTCACTCGCCTCAGGCGTGCCCAGAGCTCGCACAGCAGCCTCCACGGGGGCCAGACCCTCTCACAGAGCCCTGCGGACCCCCCAGGGACAGGCCTGCCCCGGGCGACGGCCACGGCGGGACAGCAGCCAGCAGGGTGGCGGGAGCTCTTTGGTGGTCCTCGACCCAGGTGCTGCCAGGTTCGCCCGTGTGCTGTGTGTCCACAACAGGAAGCTGCTCCACCGGCTCGGCACGCCTTGGGCACCTCTGGGGCGCGTGGACATCTCCACAGACGTGCCGGGGCACTCCTGGACACTCGACGCGGTGGGGGCCAGCCTGGGGCACTCACCATGGGGGGGGCCGTGGGGCCTGTCACTCTCTGTCCCCGCTGAGCTCCCAGCCTGTCTTTTCTTGGGGTTCTTTCCTCTCGGGAAGCTTCCCTACGGCCCTGCATGAGCAGTGGACCTCATTCAGCTCTCTCTGACGTTTTTCTCAGGGAAGTCTGTTTCTTGATTGGATTCCAGTATTTTAGATTTGGAAGATTCCCAGTGTCTGTGCTTGAGCGCCTGTAGGGGTCGGGCCCCCAGGCAGGGGGGCGGCTGCCCAGCTCCACGTGCTCCACCAGCCTCCTTCCTGAGCGCTGAGCAGGGGCTAAATGCTGCCTCCGGCATTTTTATACCAGCGGGGAGGGCGGGGTGACTTGGCAGGACCCACCTCAGCCTTTTCTTAGGCAGCCTGGGCTCTGTGCCTGCTGGGCTTGGGAACGCTCATGGGGGAAGGCAACAGTCCCTGTGCCTGCGGCCAGCGCTTCGGGGGGTCAGGAGTGGCTGCTGCGTGACCTGAGTGCCCCGTAGGCTGTGGCCCAGGAGCCCACTCGCCGGGCTCCACCAGCCTCTCCCACCAGGGTGCAGTTGGCTTGGCTGGAACCTCACCCGAAGCTGACGGCCTCTCGGGCATTTGTGCCGCTCTCCCGGCCCCGAGTCCGCGCAGAGCAGCCTGCTTCCAAGCTCCCCCTGGCAGCCGGGTCCAGGTGGGTACTCCGCCCCAACCCTCACGTCGTCTTCTCTGCTCTCCTTGGCAGGCTGTCTGGGGTGGGGGGCCGACACTCAGCCTTGGGCGGGCGAGGCCAGCGGGGCTTCTCTTTGCCCGGGGTTGCGTGACGGGGGGGCTGCCCTTCCCATGAGTGTGAGGTGTGTGGGCAGCTTCCCAGGAGCCCTGGCGGACCAGGGCTTCCTCTTCCTCTGGAGAGGGAGCGCGGGGCTGGGAGGGAGGCGGGGTGTGGCCCTTGCACTTCCAGTGACTCACCTGCCGCCTGAACAGCTGCAGGGCTGTTTGTGAGGCTCGCCTCTCCCTGCCCAGGGCAGCTGCGCTCTCACCAGGGCCCCAGGCCTGCCTTCCTGGAGGTGTGAGCGGCCCGGAGCCGGTGGCGGGGTCAGATGTGGACCTGGTTTCGGCTCTGCCTCCGCCTCCTGCACTGTGAGATGGGACGTCGGGTCAGGTGAGCGGGCCTGGAGAGGGCAGTGCCGGGATGGGGCGGGGGGTGGCCCAGGCCTGGGGCTGGCACGAGGGTGTCGCCCTGGACCGTGGCGGCCCGGGAGCCAGTGTGCGGGGCTCCCGGCCATTGAGGGTCCAGCCGGCTGGGGCGGAGCAGGCCCGGAGCAGGCCGGGCTGTGAGGAGACGCCTGCCTCCTCCCCTCTGGGGGCCCTGGGCTGGGGGCCTCTGGTCTCAGGAGGCTGTTTCTGTGCTGGCGGCGGAGGCAGTCACTGCAGAGGATTCCCCCACCCACCTCCCTCCGCCGCCTCTCCCGCCACCAGTGGGCCTGTGCCCCGGGTTGTCCCCTGCTGTGTGTGCCCTTCCCTTGGCTCCACGTGGGCTCTTGAGTGGATCTCTAGCTTTCCCCTCCAAGATCCAGCGTGGTGAACCCCCCACCCCATCCCCGCTGGAAGCATCAGCTGCGACATTCAGCGAGGCGTACCACCCTTCCGAGTGAAACCACAGGGTGTCTCCGTCCACCCCCCCAGCCTCTAGCTCACCAGGCTGCTGGCACCTCTGGATGTGGCCCCAGTGGTGTGGCTGCCGTGTGGGGTGCTCGGGGGCCTATTGGGGGGCGGGTGCTCTGGGGGTTCTGAGGACAGAGACAGGGCGGGCCTGGGAAGAGAGAGCCTCTGTGCGGCCACTCCAGGCCCTCAAACCTTTGCCTACTCCCTTTTGTCTTTGAAAACATAGATCAAGCTCTTTGTTGTTGTGAAATAGATCAGTCAGAGAAGAGGGACTGGAGAAAGTGGTATCAGAGCCTGAAACCACATCCAGCCTAGAAAGAAGACATTCCAGCACAGTTGTCCTCTTTTTCTCTCCTGCGATAAGTGAATAGCTCTTTGCAACATAACGCATGAAGAGAAACCACAGCAGTCCCAAGTGCACAGGTGTGTGGGTTTCAGGTTAGCGCCCTGCGCCCCTCCCGAGTCACGGAACCGGAAAGCAGCAGTGGCACCTGGCCCTCTGGTCCCCCACGCCCGCCTCTGGCCCCTCCTGCCCTTGGGCGCCCTGTGCCTGGAGTCGGAGGAGGCGGCTTCTTTGGGGCCCTCGGGACTCCCTGCAGGGGCCCCAGCGAGAGTTCCTGCTTTCCTGTGGGCGCGTTTGCCTCCGGTCAGCTTGCGGAGGTGTAATTTACATTCCACTGAGTCTGAAGCCTAAGCTTTGTTGAATTTTGACAGATATGCGTATCCTCCGACCTCCCTCAAGGCTGATCTAGAACCTTGGGCTGCCCTCGCCACACCCTGGGAGCTTAGCACCCACTGAGCTGCCACGGCCTCAGGTTCCAACTAAAACCCGTCTGGAAGGGATCCTCCAGTGTCTGTGTGTGGGGTCTGCCCTTGAAGCCTGCTGCGGTGAGGTTTGCCGGCCGCTGTGCAGAGCTGTCCTCTGTCCTGTCGTGAGGAGCAGCCTCACACAGCGGAAGCCTGGTCGGCTCCACCCTTCCCACATGTTCAGACCAGGATCGCGCCGCCTAGCGCTCACCGTGCCTCTATGTGCCCGGCGCCTTTGTCCTTCCGCCGAGGGGAGCAGGTGGCTGGGTCCCCAGGGAGGTGCGTGTGGCCTGCTGAGGATGAGGCTCTGTGTCTGCATGTGCTCTCTGGCCCTATCAGCCTCCGTGGTCTGATTCTGACCGTCCTGGTGGGTGTGGGTGCAACTTCTCTGGGGAAATGTCTGTCACCATCTCCTGTCCATTTTCAGTTGCGTTTTGAGAGTGCTGTGTCTGTTGGGGGCGCAAGTCCTGGGTCAGTGCATGATGCTTTTTTTTTCATTCTCTCACGGGGTCTCTTGAGGTGCAGATGTCCTTGCTGTGGACTGTGTCCAGCTCCTCATTGCTGTCCGGGGACCGGGCCCTGGTGGCTTGCTCTGTTACGTGCAAGGACTGAGCGTAGGTTGCTGCTGCTTCTGGACAGGATGCCAGTTTGGTGCGTGCCCCTTTCTGCACGCCTGGGGCCAGCCTTCTGAAGGGGGCGGGGGCGGGCAGGCAGGCTGTCCAGGCGGACGTGGGCACCCGGCTCTGTTTCTCTGTCCTTTGCTGGAGCTCACTGACGCGATGGACATGAGTTTGAGCAAGCTCCGAGAGTTGGTGCTGCGCGGGGAAGCCTGGTTGCTGCAGTCTATGAGGTTGCGAAGAGTCGGACACGCCTGAGCGACTGAACTGAGCTTATTGGAGCTCAGGAACGTGGCGGTTGCGGAGAGATGCATCCTGACAGCAGCCACAGGACCGTGGAGGAGGGCCTGTGGTCCCAGAGGGCAGCCGCTCCTTCACCGTGCCCATTCACAGCACCCTCGGGCCAGCAGGGTGGCGGGGGTGGCAGCGGGGAAAGCCTGGGCCAGGGGTGGGAAGAAAGGGCACGGTTGCCCCGCAGCTGTGCTCACACACCCACGCACACGGCGCTTCCCCGTGTAGACACACACACGCGTTCCACCTGTGCAGCCCTGGGGGAGTCCATGGAGGCTGGACAGTCTAGGTGCTTGTCCTGAAAAGAAACATGAGGGTGGCTTCCGGCCTGGAGGACATCTTTGCCCACTCAGCGGGGGGCGTGTTTCTGTATCTTTAAGTGGACGCACGTGACATCCGCCCCGCACGGTGTGGTTAGGTGTTTGTTTCCCGGTGTGTGGTGGTCTGAGAGGAGCTCGGAGGCTGGGGCGGCTGTCGGGACCCTGAGTGCAGGGCAGTCACTGTGAGTGAGGCTTCTGGCGCAGATGCGCCTTCGGTCCAGCTCTGCCATCCTCCTGCCTCCTGGCCTCGGCAGAGGCCTGCGCTCTCCAGACTCTCCTTCAAGCCTAGCAGTCTGCTCTCTGTTCTTCTGAAAGTCCACCCACGGGAGTGGGGGCCTTGACCTGATGGTGGCGTCTTGCCTGCAGTCTTAACGAGGAAGCGGGCAGGGTCACTCGTCAGGGGCCCCAGGCCCTCCTTCCTCAGCCTGGGTCAGCCTGCCCCCAGGGCACTTGGGCCAAGCCCCCACGTTCTGTGTGCTGCACGGGCACCCTGCTGGCAGCGGGGCCGGGGCCCAGCCCCTGTTCTTTGGCTGTGAGGGACACGGGGGGCCGTGGAGGCAAGGTCCAGAGTGTGGTTTGTGTTCTGAAAGGCCCTCTCCTTGGAGACAGCAGCCCTTGGGGATGGGCTCTGAGCTCTGGGCTCCTGGCGGGGGGCCTAGGTGTGGGGGTTACGCCCGAGCGTGCCTGAACACAGGGCACCAGACCGGGGGCAGCTTGTGCTCCAGGGCACGAGCGCCTGTGCAGAGGCAGAGGCCCGCCTGCAGCGCTGGCCGGGTGGGTGCCCCCAGGCTGTTGGCACTGGGGCCTGTCCTGTCATGAAGGGCATCGCTCTGCTGGCTAGTGCCTTGGAGGCCCGTCCGCCCATTGCTGGTGGCCACGTGGGTTGTTTCCAGTTTGTGACCTGGTGGGCAGGTTTCCGTGTAGACCTGCGCTCTCTCTCTTCAGGGCTGGGGTCCGAAAATGCTGGGTCGCCTTCTCCCGGGGCGGGCCCACCTGCCCTCTCTGAGCTCGTGGCAGCCTCTGAGTGTGGGCGCCACTTATGTGTCCAGCCTGGTGGCTGCGTGGCCCCTCCTGCTGACCCCCGCTGCTCTGCCGGGAGGGCCCCCGTTTCCTGTGCGGTCTTGCTGTTGAGATGCAGGAGCTGGATCTTCCGGGCGGGGGCGGGCTGGTGGCTTGCCCTCCAGGGGCCTTGTCGCGAACGCGGCCCCTCGAACTCCTGCTGCGGCACGTTCAGTCGTCACCCCTGTGTCTGCAGCGTTCGGCCTGCCCTCACCTCCATCCAGGGTACCTTTTGTCTCAGATCTTTCAGTTTCTATGTCTACAAGTTCAACTGGGATCTTCAAAACACGTTTTTTAAATGTCCTTGTAAGGTGTCCGCTGTTTCTCTTGTCTCTGGAGCAGGTGGGACAGGCATAGTGACCCTCACACCACTGTCTTCTCACTCTGTCCCTGAGCCCCGCTGGGGTCTTTTTTGATCAGTGATTTGATTCCTAGCAATGCACTGTTTTCCTCCTTTCTCCAGGTTGGTGATTTCTGATTGGACACAAAACCGCGGGAGCTTTGCCTTGTGTGGTGTTCATTTTTGTTGCTCAGTCGCCGAGTTGTGTCTGACTCTGTGACCCCGTGAACCGTAACACGCCAGACTCTTCTGTCCTCCACCATCTCCCAGAGTTTGCTCAAGTTCATGTCCACTGAGTCAATGATGCCATCCAACTATCTCACCCTCTGTCGTCCCCTTCTCCTTCTGCCCTCAAACTTTCCCAGCATTGGGTCTTTTGCCTTGTTTGCTGCTGGATATTTTTGTGTGTCTGTAAGTTGCTTGGACTCAGGTTGGAAATGATTGATTGCTTTCAGTCTTGTGTGTGTTCTGTGTTGGTGGGGTTATGGTGCTGTTTCATATCTGGCCAGTTTTTCTCACTACTGATCTCTGGAGTTCTCCACCTGTCCCGCTCTGGTTGGGGGGAAGGAACTCATTTTGGGCCCGTGTGGGCCTTGAGGTTGGCCGCGCTGATCCTCCTGGGTGGGGTATGCTCCTGGAACCTGTGTCCTGCGGGGACTTAGCCGGGGACCCGAGGGCCCACAGCACATCCGCACAGCGCTCGGGGTCCTATCCTCCTGGTGTGCTGCCCCCGACTTCTGCCCGTTTGGCCCCCCAGACTCGCTGCAGGGGCCCCTCAGCGGGGTCCCCTCCCTGCCGAGCAGGCAGGGGCCAGGCACCCCCGCAGGCCCTCGCTGGTGCCCTCCCCGCCGAGGAGCCTAGAGGAGGAGACACTGCCCAGCCAACTCCGCGAGGCCGGAATACGACAGGACCCCTCCAGGCAGACGTGGCTCCGCGCAGCGCCCCCCTTGAACACCACGGGGAAGCTCCCTCAGCCCAGCGGTTGGCTGCAGGCTTCGTGGCCCTCGGTCCACCCACGCGGCCCTGCTCTGGCGTGCCCCGTCCCCTCCGCTTCTCTGCCGCGCGTGCCCACAGCCCCAGCTTCTGTTCTCGAGTCCGTCGCGGCCCTCCCCAGGCCTGCTGTGTCGTCCAGGGCACCACCCCCCGCAGTGTCCAGCGTCTGAGACCAGTTGCTTCTTATGTTGTATCCAGTGTGAGGTTGTTGATGGTGGAGGGCAAGTCCAGCATCAGTTACTCCCAGTGGAGAAGCTCTTCATTCCTTTTTCATTAAAAACCAAAGCCCTTCCCCTCGTGTCTCCCCGGCACTGCCGCAGTGTTTCTTGTAGTCTAGACTTCATTTAGGAGCTCCCGTTTCTGCTTCTCATTGTGAGCCTTTTTGTCTGTCATTTCAGTTCTTTAATTCGCTTTATTTCTGAGGTTTCCAAATTTGAATTTATTGAGGTACGGGTTTCCCCTGTTTTATGTGTGTCTTTTTAGATTGTTTTAATTATTACTCTTCCTTCTTGTTTTCCATTTTCGCTGGACTTAGCCTTGAAGCTTTGCCCACTTGCTTTTACGTTAACCACATGTTCCTGTGCCTTCAGCCAGGGTTCTGGGCTCTGTTGCCTTCGCAGCTGGGCCCCCGCTCAGAGCCTCCAGGAGATGGGCGTGGTCCCCGGGGCGGGACCAGAGGCCGAGGCGTCAGGGTGCACACACGTCTGGCTCCACGTGGATGCCGTGTCCCGCCGGGCGGGGACGCAGACGTGGAGGTGAGTGTGCACACCCGTGTCCTCGCTCTGTCAGCCCCGAGCGTCCAGGACGGGGACCCCGGCAGCAGTGGGATGACGGGTCAGGTCTCCGTCTTTCATCTGCTCCAATAGACAGGCCTGGGGCCCCTTGAGGAAGCAGCAGTCCTCAGCCCGTGGCAGGCAGGCAGGCAGGCACCCTCTGCTCAGGTGCACCAGCTGCCTGGCAGGCCGCGTCCTGCCCACCCAGGGCCGCCGCGGCTCAGCTCCCCAGTGGGCACGGTACCCGGGTCCTGCCCTGGTCCTCATGTGTGGCCCGGTGGCCAGCCTGCCCCACTGCGTGTGGGGGGCCCCTCCCAGGGGCTTTGCCACAGCACGGAGCTGGCTGGAGCCTGGGTGAGTGGCTGGCCTTGTGGGGCGCGGCCGCGGGGCCAGGGTCTGGCTGTGGCCCGGGCATGGGGGCCGTGCTCCTGCTGACTGCAGGTTGGCCCCGTGCTGACAGTGAGCCGGCCCTGTGGTCAGCCAGAGGCTGGAGCCCAGCCGGGCTCGTCCTGTTGGACGGTTGCTCTTCTAGTCCTTGATGGTCCTGTGTGGGGCCCGCGGTAACAAAGACCCTGGCCACACCCCTCTCTTGCCCCCTCAGGAGGCCTCTAGCTGTGTCCACAGGGTTTGCTGCCCTCTGCCTCGTGCCCACTTGGCACCCTGTCTTCCCAAGGCCGTTGGGGTGGAGACGCTGCCCGCCTGCCCCCGCTCTGCAGGTGTGCAGCCTGCCTCTTCCGGCAGCCCCGCCCGCCCAGAACGTCCCCGGCCATGTCAGAAGGGCCCCCGACAGGTCCTCTTTGTGGCCACGCCGACCCTGCCGCAGCGGCCTGGCCCCACACAGCGCCTGAGCGGCGCCACTTTGAAAGGCAACTGAGATGTTCCCTCAAGTAACCAGACTTGGCCGGCCTGCCTGTAAAAGGAGCAGCTGCTGTCCCTGCCTGCCGGGCCGGCCGCCTCCCCGCCCCATTTGTGCTCATTGGCCGGCGTGGCTGGCTCCCGGTCAGGGCTGCGAGGCCGGCGGGGAGCGTTGGGGCTGGGCGCCTGCTTCCCCGGCCGCTTCTGTGCTGCCCACCATGCTTGGAGACCACAGCGGTCTCCCCGCAGAGCGAGCTCTGCTCAGCCAGCCCCCCAAGGCTGGGCTCAGCTGCAAGACAGTGCTTCAGGCAGTTGGCAAAGTGCTCAGGTGAGCGTGGCAGGGCCGCGGGGCATCGGAGTGTCCCTCATCCCGTCCCAGGGCTGTCTGGGGAGGTCCCTGCTCAGGTCTCCGTGGTATGCAGACCCTGCCTGGGCTGGGGAGCGGATGGGCCCCGGGCGGGAGCAGCTGGGTGTGCTCAGAACTTTGTTTGGAGCGAGGCTCTCCCTAGACTTCAGCCCTTCCTGCTGTCTGTGGGAGGCAGGGAGCCCCCAAAGCGGGCACTCAGCCCAGAGGGTCTGGGTGAGAGCAGGGGGCTTCCGAGACCGGTGTCTGCCTGCGGGGAACCGTGCCCGCAGCAGACCCGCCTCATGCCCTCCTGAGCCCCTGGACCGCGCCTTCGCCACCCCCTGTCCCCGGGCAGAGTGCCCGGAGTCTGTGACGAGCGACCTTGTCCGGAGCCTGCCCTGGTCTTGTCTGCCATGGGGCCTCTTTCCTCACTCATCTCCCTCAGCTGCTCCACGGAGCCTCCAGCATCCCACGTGAGAGGCTGGAGCCTCTCCGCCTCTTGTGCGTCAGTGTGGAAGCATCCAGGTCGGGCATTCAGGAGAGAGCAGGGCGCTGGGGAGCAGGCCTCCTGGCCCCTCCCGGGCGGGGCGTCCGCCCTGTGCTGCGTGCCCTGGGGGCCTGGCTCAGCCCTGTGGTGAGGGGGCCCCGGACACGCTGCTGGCAGGTGGAGCACTGCCCTCCCTTCCCGGGAGCCGCAGTTCAGACGAGACCTGGCCAGCCTCGGTGTGTGCTTCTTGGGTTTGCTTGTGAATTGGGTGCATCGCAGCTCTTAAGTAAAACTGTCTTTTGCTCTTCTAATTCTTTGATTGTAATCAGGCTATGCAGGCCTCTGGGTGAGGGTCTGGGTGAGGCCCAGCTGTGGCTGCTGCTGGCCCTGGGGGAAGGACCACCGACGGGCGCTGTGACCCGTGTCCCAGGTTTCTGTGGTTACCGCCCTCCTCCCCTACAGGGCCACCCCTGGCCGCAGGGGTGGAGGACCTGCGCAGGGTTGCAAGCAGAAGCCCAGAGTGAGCTGCCGTGTAGGGGTGTGGGGTGTGGGGACGCTGGCTCTGATCAGGAGCGGTGACGCCCCCAACAGTGTGGGGGGCTGCTGTGTGCACCCGGCGTGGCTGGGGTGGCTGGACCCAGAGTGGGCGCCCTGGAGGCCACGGGCAGGGCTGGCCCTCCGAGCCGTCTGCGGGAGAGAGGCCGAGGCCTGCCGCGGGACCAGGAGGACTTCACACGGAGGTGGCGATTCAGCCAGGAGGGGGAGGGAAGTCCGGTGGATGCGTCTCCGTGGCCGGCCCCCTGGAGGCTGCGGTGCTGGGTGGGCCACGCCACGGGCACCCGGTGTGCAAGAACTGTCTCGGGGATCCGCCGCCTTCACGTGTCTCCCCAAAGTGTCTAGCCGCTGCAGCCCCTGGGGATTTGACGGGGGTTCCGTGGGGGTCTTCCCGGTCTTCTGCCCCGATGCCTCTGCTCTGGGAAGGGGCTGGTCACCAGGGACGGGAGGACCGTGAGAACGCGGCCGGGGGCAGGGTGGTCTCCAGGTGTCAAGAGTGCAGATGCCCCAGGCCCGCTCGGCAGAACCTGGGGTCTGGGGAAGGGGGGTGCTCTCCCTGGGCGCCTCCTTCCTCAGCCGCCTGCCGCACCACTGTCTGTGTCCTGGGCTTCGCTGTGGGGCCCACCCAGCACCCGGGTTTCACTCGGAGTCCACGTCCTCACATCTCAGGAGGCTCGTGACCCAGCTCCCCTCCAGCCGTGAGGCCACGCCCGGGCTGCCCGCCTCCGTCAGGGCCTCCGCGCGCCCTGCTCCCGCAGCCCCTGGCCCAGACCACCCCGAGCCCACTCCTGGGGAATGCGCTGGCTGCGCTGGCATCTGTGTCGGCATCTGGGGAAGGCCGCGGCCAGCCAGGCTCTGAGGGGAGAGGGGCGCGCCCCGCCTGTGTCCGCCGCAGTCCAGCGCCACCTTGCCGGCTCCGGCCCACCCGGCCCTGTGCCTGAGGCCCCGGCCCCTCGCCCAGCGCAGACGCCTACGCCTGACGCTGCCTGCTACTCCCGGAGGTCAGGACCTTGCCACACGTGTCCTTGTGGTGGCCCCTGGGGCAGCCTTGCCCGGGGCCGAACTGGCCATGTTGCCTTTGGAAGGAGTTCAGCTGAGCTGGCGGCGGCGCTCAGCACTTGGGGGGCCTCGGCTGGAGGGGCACCCACCGCCTGCGGGCATGGAGCTGGGTCCTCCCCACTGGCGCCTGGGTCACCGTGTGTTGCCAGAAGCCTGTGCCCGAGGACTCGGCCTCCTGGCTCCAGGCCTTCCCCTCGTGGAAGGGACAGCACAGAGGCAGAGGCCCTTGGGTGTGGCCGGCCCCACCAGCCCCCAGACCCACCCCAGGCAGGCGCCCCCAGACCCGCCCCAGGCAGGTGCCCCCAGACCCGCCCCAGGCAGGCCCTGCCTTCAGTCCTGCTGCCTTCTGGCCAGCGGCTGTCCTCTCGTGGTGGCGTGTGTGCAGGGCGCAGGTATGTGCGGGGCGTGGATGCAGAGAAGGCCAGGCCTGCTTCCCAGCAGTGCTGGAGCCTGGGGCCCAGGGCACTTCTGCTGGCTGGCTTGAGGAGGGCAGGTGCTGACAGCAGAGTGAGGGGATGGGGAGGCAAGGCCTCTGACCACACAGACCACAGCCCAGGGCCCCCAAGGCCCATCTCATGGAGCAGAAGCCCAGGTCCTCCAGGGGTTGTGTCCCCCAAGAACCAGAGACAGCGGGCACCCCCTGCCGGAGGGGCTGACCACCCCCCTGGAAGGGACGTGCGGGCATGGGGACACCATGCCCTGGGCGGGAGGCGGCCCTGGGCAGGCCTGCGCGAGGCCCTGCGTCACCCCTGCATGGCACCCACTTCCTTTGCCCCTCTGCCCGACTGCCCATGTGAAGGCCCCCGGGGGAGGCTGCTGTGCGTGCCCAGGCGCAGGACGCAGGGACGGGGCCACGGGGGGCTTCCTGGCCCAGGCTCCCCTCGCCCCAGCCCCCGTGGATGATGGTGGCGCCCCCCACCCCCACCACTGCCTCGGGGTGGCTGGCCCCAGCCAGATGTGCCACCTGGAGCAGAGGCAAGGGGGTCGGGTCAGCGGGGCCGGGCACACAGTGGACAGTCTGCCCGTGGGCAGACGCTCGGGAATGGGCAGAGCAGAGGGCCACCCAGGGTTGGAGGTGCACTCTGCGGGCTGGCCCCTGGTGCCCGGGCTGTGGATGCAGGCACCTTCCAGGCAAGTGTAGGCTTCCCGCCGGGTGGTGGCGGCTCCATGGCGCAGACCCAGGCTCAGGAAGGCGCTCCACCCACCGATCCCTTGGTCCCTTCTGTGCCCACTGAGGAAGCTGCAGGGCCCCCAGAGGTCCATGTCCACGCTTGTCCCTGTGACCCGCACCCCCCCCAGGACTCCTGAGGTGTCCCCTGCATGTGCTTGTGTGTATGTGTGCAGTGTCCGCACCTGGGCCCAGCGCAGGATCCCGGGGCCCCCACCCAGTGCTGGCCGCTGCCGTGCCACACCCAGAGGCCGAGCACACGTTGCCTTTTAAGGCAAAGATCTGCTGTGAGAAGCCGAGGGGAAAACATTTCCCTGGCATTCAGGGAGCATTTTTCCTTCCTGTTTCTCTTAAATAAACCACTAGTAACTTTTCAAAACAGAAGAACAAAAAGGGCAAGGTCAGTAGCTGCAGACCTTCCATCCCGTGTGACCCCCCCGACCCCTGCACCTCAGTGGGACTGGGGGGCGCACACAGTGTCTGGTTGGCGCCCAGGTCCTCCGTCTGCCTGCCCCCCCACCCCCCAGCCAGGCTGCATCCCTCAGGCCTGTGGCTGTCCCTCGCTGGGGGCCTCACTGAGCATTTGTGCCCTCGGATGCCCCCCAGCCCCATCCCAGACAGCCCCTGCTCAAGAGTCCGCAGCTGAGGGCAGCCTTTTCTGGTCGGTGGACTCAGGACAGGCTGATGGACCGGCCGTCTATTTGCTCAGAGTTGGGATGTTGCCGCTGGAGATCCCAGGCACTGGAGCAAAGGAAGGACATGAGTCCCTGCTCTTAGGAGCCTCCCCCACCCTCCGCGAGAGCCTGACCAGCCTTGAAATGTGGTGTGGGGGGAGAGGTGTCTCCCCATGTCGGCCTGGGGGGAGCCCTGCTCCGGACACGGCACACACTGGCTCCCTCTGCCCCAGCCTGTGGCAGACACAGGGACTCGGGTCAAACCCGGCCCAGGCTGGTGTCCCAGCTACAGCTCCGGGCCTGCTCCGTTGGGCGTTTCCTCCCTGAGGGATGTGCCCGTCCCCTCCGTCTCGGGCTTCGGGTGGGGGCAAGGCTGGCTGTGGGGCCATCGCCATCCCGCCGAAGTGGGGCAGGGCCTCCCTCAGGCCCAGGGAGCGCTGAGTCTTGTTGCTCATGTTCAGAGAATATCTCAAAGCCATGTGTCCTCTCTGTTATACGCCAGCAGACTCTTAACAGATGAGAAAAACGTTAGTGAGAAGTGGCCATTTCGTCAGATCTCTGTGACCTCCGCTCACGCCGACGTCTGTCTGTGCTTGGAACCGCGGTGCCCCTTAGCGGGCGTGTGGGCAGTGGGCAGGGGGCCCTGTGGGGACAGCAGGCCTCGGGGCGGCCCGGGGTGCCGCGAACGCAGGCTGCTGGCTCCCCTGTGTGGAAGGACGTCAGGCAGGACCCTGTGAGGCCACGGGCCCGGCCAGGTGGTGCCCCCGCCACGTGACCCCGGTGGCCCTGCAGTGGGGGCCCGGGCCTGGTGGGGGCCGGGAGGGCTGCAGGGCCGTGGTGTCACGCGTTGGGGGGTGAGCCGGCTCGTGTGGCCACTCTCCCGTCCTTGGTTGGTCTGCGAGCCCCCTGCTACCTCGAGTTCCAGGCTTGGGCCTTGAAAGGGCAGGGAGGGCACAGGCACAGGGCGGCTTCCGCCCACACCTGGGCCTCAGGAGCTGCAGCCCCCAGGGCCGGGCCTGCGGCCTCCATGCCTGCCTCCGCCGTGACCCCTGCCTCCCTTCTCTCTGCAGGAAGTCCAAAGCCAAGCCCAACGGGAAGAAGCCTGCCGCCGAGGAGAAGAAGGTGTACTTGGAGCCAGAGTACGCCAAGTCCAGGATCACGGACTTCGGGTTCAAGGAGCTGGTGGTGCTGCCCCGGGAGATCGACCTCAACGAGTGGCTGGCCAGCAACAGTGCGTGGGGGTGGGGCAGGGCTGAGGGCGGGGCAGGGCTGAGGGCGGGGCGGCCCCTCATTTCCCCCGAAACCCCGGAGCTGGTGCTCAGCATCCTTGCGCACAAGCTGACTGACGCTGAGGCACGGGATAGCCAACCAACAGAGCCTTGGGGTCCCCACAGAGACGGCGACTCATTGAGGGTCCTGGTCACACCAGGGGTGGGACACCAGGGCCAGGGAAGGCTGTGAGATGCGAGCGTGGCAGCAGGGCCGCGGTGGGGAGGGCCACGTTAATGGTGTTCCCGACCAGCTGGGGACGCTAAGACTGGGGTTGGAGGTTTTCTACCCAGGCCTTCGTGGAGGGCACTTGGTCTCAATGGCCCGGGGTACCCTGCCCAGCTCAGCACCGTGGCCTGTGCCGCCCACCCCCGAGGGCCCTGCTGTGCTGAGGCTGTGGTCTCTGCTCTGTGGTCAGCACCAGCCCCCACGCCCAGGGCCTGCAGAGAGGCTCCGGTGCTCTTGGGCCCGCAGGACACCGGAGACGAGACGGGCACCACGGTGAGGCTCTCAGGCGCCGCCTTTGCTTTGCAGCCACGACGTTCTTCCACCACGTGAACCTGCAGTATAGCACCATCTCGGAGTTCTGCACGGGGGAGGCGTGCCAGACCATGGCCGTGTGCAACACGTGAGTCCAGGCCTGGCGCGGCCAGTGCGGGCTCCCCTGTCTGACTCTACTACGCCTGCAGCGTCCCTGCCGAGGTCTCTGCAGGGCCCTTACCAGGGCTGCTCCCTTGTCCCCAGAGGCCCCGACCTGGTGGGGAAACAGGAAGCAGAGCCCAGCAGAGTGGGGGACCTGGGCAGCATGGGTACCCCTGGGCATGGGTGCCGGGAGCCAGCTGGGGCCCAACGGGCTGTGTCCTGGGGCAGAGACATTTCCACGGCACGTGCCCACCGTGCTCCCTGAGACCGCGGGGCGTGTGCAGCCAGAGACACTTCCCGGCGCTGGTCCCACCGGCTGAGGCCCGAACCAGAGCTCCCGCTCTGCATGGAGGAGGCGCTGCTGGTCCACGGGGCTGAGATGCTTTGGCGCCTCCCCACGTGGTACCCTCCCATGGGCCTGCTCTCTTCTGGAAACGGGCACCCCAAGGGCTCCAGGACACCCCGCCTCTGTGGCAGCTCTTGAAGCTACATGGGTAGGAGAGCCACCACGTGGCCCTAGGCTCACCCCCAGCCCCGGGGGCAGAAGCCACGGAAGCAGCCGCGGGCAGGAGGCTGCGTGGGCCGAGGAGGCGGCGTGGACGCTCATCTCCGATGGCTCCTTGTCAGGGTCACGGCCTGCATGCCGAGCTGATGTGAGCGTGTGCGAGCAGCCGGCCTCCACTAGTGGACGTGCGGTGCTGTCGCGGGCAGCCTGGCTCAGACCAGACACAGGGCCCTGCTCTTGCTGAGACCCCTGAAAGCCCCCGCCCCACAGAGAGCGTGAGTGCAGAAGATGGCTGCTCTCCACTCCTTACCCGGCTAGAGCTGCTGATGGCATGCTTGGGTGTCACTGTGTTCCCCAGAGAGCCACAGCCCGGCCTGGCCTGAGGCAGGTGCAGCAGTGCTGGGGGCATGCGCAAAGTGAGCCTGGGCCCCTCAGTGTGGGACGGTGGCCTCTAGAGCAGATGTGGCCGGGCAGCCGGAAGTGGGCAGGGGCAGTGCTGCATTGCCCTGCCTACGGCATGTGCACAGGAGAGGCCTGGCCAGGCACCCAGGTGTCAGAGGAGGCCTGCGGGCTGGCAGATGTGGAAGCCAGGGTCCTTCTGATGCACCACCAGGCACCCTTCAGGCAGCAGTGTACTTGAGAAGAGGCTCCTTGAAGGAGCCCAGGATTGGGTGTGGGGCAGACCTGTGTCTAGATGTTGGCCCTGCCACGTCAAACTTGGAGATCTGGAGATCTTGAGAATTCTGCCGTTTATTTTTCCTACCTGTAACCTGCTTTATATGGCTTTTGTAGATTTATATGAATGATTATTGTTGTTCATTCATTCAGTAATGCACAATTCTTTGTGACCCCATGGTCTGTAGCACACCAGGCTCCCCTGTCCTTCACCATCTCCTGGAACTTGCTCAGACTCATGTCCATCGAGTCGGTGATGCCATCCAACCATCTCATCCTCTGTCATCCCCTTCTCCTACCTCCAGTCTTTCCTAGCATCAGGGTCTTTTCCAGTGAGTCAGTTCTTCCCATCAGATGGCCAAAGTATTGGAGCTTCAGCTTCAGCATCAGTCCTTCCAATGAATATTCAGGACTGATTTCCTTTAGGATGGAGTGGTTAGATCTCCTTGCAGTCCAAGGGACTCTCAAGAGTCTTCTCCAACACCACAGTTCAAAAGCATCAATTCTTCAATGCTCAGCTTTCTTTATAGTCCAACTCTCACATCCATACATGACTACTGGAAAAACCGTACCTTTGACTTGATGGACCTTTGTCAGCATAGTAATGTCTCTGCTTTTTAATATGCTGTCTAGGTTGGTCGTAGGTTTTCTTTCAAGGAGCAAGAAGAGTCTTTCATTTCATGACTGCAGTCACCATCTGTAGTGATTTTGGAGCCCAAGAAAATAAAAGTGTATCATGGTTTCCATTGTTTCCGCATCTATTTGCCATGAAATGATGGGACCGGATGCCATGATCTTAGCTTTTGAATCTTGAATTTTAAGCCAGTTTTTTCACTTTCCTCTTTCAGCTTCTCAAGAGGCTCTTCAGTTCCTCTTCCCTTTCTGCTGTAAGGGTGATATCTGAGGTTATTGATATTTCTCCCTGCAATCGTTATTCCAGCTTGTGCTTCATCTAGCCCAGCATTTTGCATGATGTACTTTACATATAAGTTAAATAAGCGGGGTGAAAATATATATCCTTGATGTACTTCTTTCCAAATTTTGGACCAGTCTGTTGTTCCATGTCCAGTTCTAACTGTTGCTTCTTGGCCTGCATACAGATTTCTCAGGAGGCAGGTCAGGTAGTCTGGTGTTCCCATCTCTTTCAGAATTTTCCACGGTTTCCTGTGATCCACAGTCAAAGGCTTTGGCACAGTCAATGAAGCAGAAGTAGATGTTTTTCTGGAATTCTCTTGCTTTTTCGATAATTCAGCGGATGTTGGCAATTTGATCTCTGGTTCCTCTGCCTTTTCTAAATCCAGTTTGAACATCTGGAAGTTCTCGGATCATGTACTGTTGAAGCCTGACTTGAATTTTGAGCATTACTTTGCTGGCATGTGGGAAGAGTGCAGTTGTGCTGTAGTTTGAGCATTCTTCGGCATTGCCCTTCTTTGGAATTGGAATGAAAACTGACCTTTTCCAGTCCTGTGGCCAGACTGGAACTGCTGAGTTCCAAAACTGCTCAGTTTTTCCAAATTAGCTGGTGTATTGCGTGCAGCACTTTAATAGCATCATTTTTTAGGACTTGAAATAGTTCAGCTGGAAGTCCATCACCTCCACTAGCTTTGTTTGTAGTGATGCTTCCTAAGGCCCACTTGACTTCGCATTCCAGGATGTCTGGCTCTAGGTGAGTGATCACACCATCGTGGTTACCTGGGTCATTAAGATCTCTCTTATATGGTTCTTCTGTGTATTTCTGCCACCTCTTCTTAATATCTTCTGCTTCTGTTAGGTCCATATTGTTTCTGTCCTTTATTGTGTCCATCTTTGCATGAAATGTTCCCTTTATCTCTAATTTTCTTGAAAAGATCCCTAGTCTTTCCCATTCTGTTGTTTTTCTCTATTTCTTTGCATTGATCAGTGAAGAAGGCTTTCTTATCTCTCCTTGCTATTTTTTGGAACTCTGGATATATCTTTCCTTTTCTCCTTTGCCCTTCACTTCTCTTCTTTTCTCAGGTATGTGTAAGGCCTCCTTAGATAACCATTTTGCCCTTTTGCGTTTCTTTTTCTTGGGGATTATAGAAAAAGCAAGAGAGTTCACAGAAAACATCTACTTCTGCTTTATTGACTACACCAAAGACTTTGACTGTGTGGATCACAACAAACTAGGAAAATTCTGAAAGAGATGGGAATACCAGCCTCCTCAGAAATCTGTATGCTGGTCAAGAAGCAACAGTTAGAATCGGACATGCAACAATGGACTGGTTCAAAATTAGGAAAGGAGTGCGTCAAGGCTGTATATTGTCACCCTGCTTATTTAATTTATATGCAGAGAACATCATGAGAAACGCTGGGCTGGGTGAAACCCAAGCTGGAATTATGATTGCAGGGAGAAATCTCAATAACCTCAGATATGCAGATGACACCACCCTTATGGCAGAAAGTAAAGAGGAACTAAAGAGTCTCTTGATGAAACTGAAAGAGAAGAGTGAAGAAGTTGGCTTAAAGCTTAACATTCAGAAAACTAAGATCATGGCATCCAGTCCCATCACTTCATGGCAAATAGATGGGGAAACAGTGGAAACAGTGACAAACTATTTTCTTGGGCTCCAAAATCACTGCAGATGCTAACTGCAGCCATGAAATGAAAAGACACTTGCTCCTTGAAAGAAAAACTATGACCAATCTAGACAGCATATTAAAAAGCAGAGACATTACTTTGCCAACAAAGGCCCATCTAGTCAAGGCTATGATTTTTCCAGTGGTCATGTATGGATGTGAGAGTTGAACCATAAAGAAAGCTGAGCGCCAAAGAATTGATGCTTTTGAACTGTGGTGTTGGAGAAGACTCTTGAGAGTCCCTTGGACTGCAAGGAGATCTAACCAGTCCATCCTAAAGGAGATCAGTCCTGGGTGTTCATTGGAAGGACAGATGCTGAAGCTGAAACTCCAATACTTTGGCCACCTGATGGGAAGAACTGACTCACTGGAAAAGACCCTGAAGCTGGGAAAGACTGAAGGCAGGAGGAGAAGGGGATGACAGAGGATGAGATGGTTGGATGGCATCACCCACTCGATGGACATGAGTTTGAGCGAGTTCTAGGAGCTGGTAATGGACAGGGAAGCCTGGTGTGCTGCAGTCCACAGGGTCACAAAGAGTCGGACATGACTGAGGAACTGAACTGAACTTCTTGGGGATGGTCTTGATCATTGCCTCCTGTCATGAACCTCCACCCATAGTTCTTCAGGTACTCTATCAGATTTAATCCCTTGAATCTATTTGTCACTTCCACTGTATAATTGTAAGGGATTTGATTTAGGTCATACCTGAATGGTCTAGTGGTGTTCACTACTTTCTTCAGTTTAAGTCTGAATTTTACAATAAGGAGTTCATGATCTAAGGCACAGTCAGCTCCTAGCCTTGTTTTTGCTGACTGTATAGAGCTTCTCCATCTTTGGTTGCAAACCAGTCTGATTTCGGTATTGACCATATGGTGATGTCCATGTGTAGACTCGTCTTCTTGTGTTGTTGGAAGAGGGTATTTGCTATGACCAGTGCGTTCTCTTGGCAAAACTCTGTTAGCCTTTGCCTTGCTTCATTTTGTACTCCAAGGCCAAATTTGCCTGTTTTTCCAGGTATCTCTAGACTTCCTATTTTTGCATTCCAGTCCCCTATGATGAAAACAACATCATTTTTTGGTGTTGGTTCTAGAAGGTCTTGTAGGTCTTCATAGAACTGTTCAACTTCAGCTTCTTTACCATTGCTTTTGGGGCATATACTTGGATTACTGTGATGTTAAACGGTTTGCCTTGGAAACAGATCATTC